ACTTTCCTCTTGTGATTGAGTTCTAGTTTCAAAGCATTGTGGTCTGAAAATAGGCAGGGAATGATCCCAATCTTCTGGTACCGGTTGAGACCTGATTTATGACCTAGGATGTGATCTATTCTGGAGAATGTTCCATGGGCACTAGAGAAGAATGTGCATTCCGTTGCTTTGGGATGGAATGTTCTGAATATGTCGAGCAGCCTGCTTTTTTAATGTATCCTGAGGCAACAGTAGGAAGTAGGTCAACAATTCACTGGACAGAAGATGCTTTAATTGGAAACCTTCTACTTAACGTACAAAGACTGGACACAATCCCAGTGTGGATTTCTAAACTCTAAACACCTGTGTTCCATCAGGTGCCCTCCTACCCACACTCAACACCACTGGCCAGTTTAGGGTCTGTAAGGCCCAGGGATCTTGACCACAACATGGACCATAATGGCCCTCGGTAGGGCTGCCTGGGGGCTTTTCGATTTAGGGACTGCACCTCTTGGCCTCTCCTGGGTGTGTTCCACATTCCCCTGGGGTTCAGGGAGCATGACCTGTGTGGCTGCATCTCAGAAGTCCAGGAACTAGAATGTAATACAACCCCTGCGACCAATTGTAAACAAGGGTCATTTAAGTAGCTTCACCAAGTATCACACTACCAGTAGTATTATCTTCTCACAAGCTGGTGTGAATCTCCGAGCAGCCCTAGAAGTAAACAATAGGGCAACAGTAGCACTTAACCTCTCATGAACTCCTATTATGTGGCAGGCACTGGGGGAAATAGCTGGCATAGCCTGCTCCCCGTGGCAGTCCTGCATTGTAGATGGTTGTATTCCCATTTTGCAGATGAGGAAATTGAGGCTCAGAGAGATTAAATAATCTGTCCAAGTCACACAGCTAGTAAGTGGCAGGGCTAGGATTTAAACTAAAGCCAGTCTAATTCTAAAATGGAAGTACCAAACCCTGGAGCAGCTGTGTACTTCTGGGGTTCCAGAAGATTCTCAGACCTTAGAGATTATGATAGCTGATAGTACCACAAACTGCATGCTTTCTCCCCATCTTGCTTTCTTTAGTTACAAAATGGACACATTCAAAAATATATATTTTTAAAGATTTTATTTATTTGAGAGAGAGAAAGCATGGGGGAGAAAGTGAGAGTGCATGATCAGGGGAAGGAGCAAAGGGAGAGGGAGAAGCAGACTCCTCACTGAGCAGGGAGCCCCACACAGGGCTCAATCCCAGGACCCTGGGATCATGACCTGAGCTGAAGGCAGACTCTACTCAACCAACTGAGCCACCCAGGAGACCCATATTCATATTTTAAAACAAACACTGCTGTGGCCACCCCCCACTGCTACCACCTCCATTGCTCCTTGGGACTGCTGCTTTTTCCTGAGGAGATTGGAAGTGCTTTGTCTCATCTAACATTTTTTTTCCTAAAGACCCTAAATACTTTAATGATGGCAAACATAATAACCCATGACTAAAGATATTTGTCCAATCCAAATTTTGTTTTGCTTGCAGAGAACAGCAAATCTGTTCATTGGAAACTGGGAGCCGATAAGGAAGTCTGGGTCTGGGTGATGGGCGAACACCATCTAGACAAACCTTACGATGTGATCTGTAATGAAATTATTGCTGAGAGGGCCCAGCTGAAAGCAGAGCGGGAAGCGGAAGAGCTCAGGTATGAGATCTACAAACCCGTGAGAGGCTGGCCAGATTATAAAATGATGCAAAGATGCCTCTTTTTCAGAGTATCTGGAGGGAGAGTGGGGTGGGACCTGAGAGTCACAAAAGTCACTGTAGATCTCTCTGGCAAGTTTCTTTACACTTTTGGTGGTTCCCTTCCTTCCCACAATGCGATCAGATCAGCTGTTTCACTTCCTGGCTTGTCATCCGAGTTTTGATCTGGATGTGGTTTCCCCCATGATCACTGGCTTCACTAGAATCATGCCAGAGCACCAAAGCTGACACAGCTGAGCATCAGGAATATAAGTGAGAAATGGAGCGGCTGTTCAAGCTTCAGGTCTTCAAACAAGATTGTTTAGAGGTGGGCAGCTGAGTAAGCAGGCCCTCTAGGTGCTTACACTATGCTAGGTGGTGGGAACTCAAAGATGAACAAGAAGCTTCCAGTAGGAGGAGAAACAGGCAGGTACACAACTAACTTCAGCCAATACAGGCTGTGATACGTGCTACAACTAAGTTATAAACGGCCCATTATTCCGATCCACAAAAGAGGTGAAAATCTGAATTGAACCTTGAAAGATAAGTAGAGTTTTCCAGCTGCAGAATGTCAGGAAGGAAATTGCAGGCAGAGGGCATAATCAAGACCCCTAGTTTTGAATATGTCTGGTTCTTTCGGTGACAATGACTTCTTCTGAATGTTCGGGGTATACGTGGGCAAGTAGCAGGAGACAGGGGGCCATGCTCTGAAGTGCCTTGAAAGCCAGATTTAGGACTTTGGACCTTGTTCTGTGGACAGTAGAGGTGTTTGAATAAGGAAGTGACACAGTCAACTGGAGATATAGGAAGGTAACTTGGCTGGTAGCAGTGAGGCAGATGATGGATCCCCTCTGCTGGGGGCCCAGGGTGACTTCTGTGAAGACTGTTATCCCTTGAGTATTGACAGCCCGATCTGAGCTAATGAGATAGAAGCAGACATATGGACCTTGGTTCATGTCCCAAGGGCTGCTGATGCTGCCCACCAACTCCTGTAACTAAAACAAAAAATGGGCATACAGAGATAAAGGAATTGTATGCTGCTCATCATAGGAAGGCAGTGTGATCTAGCAGTTTAGCTTCTGAACAGGAGTTGGGCAGACCTGGGTTCAAATCCTGGCTGTGCCACAATGTGGCCTTGGATAAATAATATAATTATTTTGAGCCTCTTGCAATTAAGCAAGGATAACAAGCCCTTCCTTATAGGGTTGTTATGAGGATTAAGTTAATGTCTTTTCTTTTTTAAGATTTTATTTATTTATTTGAGAGAGACAGCGCATGCGCGCACGTGCACACACACACACACAAAAGTAGGGGGGCGGGGGGTGGAGGGAGAGGGATAAGCAGTCTCCACACTGAGCACGGAGCCCAATGCTGGGCTCAATCTCACAACCAGAGTCGAAATCAAGAGTGAGATGCTTAACCAACTGAGTCACCCAGGTGCCCCTAAGTTAATGGCTTTAAATACTAGCAAAGGGCTTAGCGTATTATAAGCACTCAGTAAATGGTATCTGTTACTGTTTTTCACATAATTTGAATGTAGACATCTGCTTTGGAAAAGCTATCCATGTTGGAGAATGTTTTTGATAATTCCACATTTGTTTCTCTTCAGAAAAACTCAGTCCAAAGAATTCGCCAATAGCTTGAAAACGAAATCACGATATTATGATCTGCAAGCACCAGATACCCAGGAGACTCAGAATATCTATAAGAAAGCAGCAGAAGAGGAAGAAATGGGGAAAGGCTCTAGACCAGCACCACTCCTTGAAGAAGAGAAAATTCCAGTGAGTCTTTCATATGTATAAAATGCAGAATTTAATAACCAGGGGAGTTAAAGATAGTGGGACCACTGAGATGAATGTAGTCGAACATCAGGATCACAAACTTGTCTGGGAAAAGTCCCTCCCAACTTGAAGGCCCTGATGTTCATTTCATTTTGGGAAATTTGGCTCACCTGCTACTTCACAAAAAAGGGTTTTTTTCATGGGACTGAAGGTGTGAAGAAAGAACTCTAGGAATAAAGTTTGCATTTTAAGATTTTTTCAGGGTTTATTTTTCCCTGTTATATGTCTTCTATAACAGAGGTCGGCAACTTTTTTGTGTGAAGGGCCAGTTGGCAAAGACTTGAGGCTTTGTGGACCACACTCTCTCTGTCACAACTGTATGCAAATGAACAGGTGTGGCTCTGGTGCAGCAAAGCCTTACTTACCAGGACAGGGCCCGCTTTGGCACCCAGACTGCAGCCGACTGACCCCAGCCCTAGAGTGCTGGCGTCTTTGTGGTGTAGATTATGTTCTATGGCGTCTTTCCTGTTTTGTTGAGGACTACACCTCAGTGCCTCTTTGGCTTCATAGATTTTGCCTGTGACTGTGGGGACCATTATTTCCTCAACACCATAGAATTTTATAATCAGAATTGGTATGAATTCTCTTGTGTTTCAGTTGGCTTAAAGAGCTCAGATATCATTTGCTGCTTAGATTATAGTTTGGAAGAATAATAAAACTATATTATGAAGTACCTTCTTCTGCCAGGAATTTAATTAAACTGAGAATTAACAGGGGATTTGCAACTGTTTGACTTCTGTTCAGGCCCCCAGCTTTGTGACACTAGTTGTGTGTGCTCTTGACCTATTTGAGGCAGTTACACGGGGCTACGGTTATCTGTCCTGCCTACTTCATGGGCTTATGATGTGGCAAAGCACACTGCTGAATGTCTCACTTCATTCTCACAATGACTTTATGACCTAGGGACTGTTTCTGTACTTGTCCGTTTTACAGGTAAGAAAACTGAGGTTAGCTATGGTTATTCAATCTGCCCCAGATCTTACAGTTGACAAAAGACTGAACCAGGATTCAAACAGAGATCTGGAGGACCCCTAGGTCATTCCTTAACTATTGCATTTGATTGTCTTATTAATATGAGGAATGTGAAGAAGCTTTATAAAGGGCTGCAAATATGAGGCTCACAATATTTAGGGGTACAAAATTCTAAAATTTGGTTTATATCCCAAGGTCAGACCTGCGTCCTTTCCTCACATGTTCAGTGAAGCATGCAAGCTCTCCCAGGGCTGCTTTGTATTCCACATTTAATACCAAACTCCCTCCAAACAGCAGACTCCTTTTCTAGCACCCCTAAAATGAAGAACAACAATAGCAAGAGCCAAAAACCTCTTTCCAAAGCATTGAGTACGCATGCTAATCTTTGTGTTTGAATTACAGTACTTTCCTAGAAAAATTTTTTTTCAAAAATTTTCAAAATTTTTTTCAAAAGAACAAAAGATTAAAATAGAAGTTAAGTACCGTGGCTATTATTGTTTTACTATATCATAAATATTATAGGGATTATATTTTATACACACACATATATATGTAATACACACACACAGTGAGAGGAGAAGATCTCAACATTGACTGATTTACTCATTCATTTAAAAAGTACCCATTATGTGCTACGCATTGAGATTATAGTGTAGGAGTAAAAACAGAATCACTGCTGAACTTCAGAATAAGTTGAAGGAATGAACTGCTAAATGAACTTTATAGTTGAGAAAGCAAAGAGAGACTTCATATAACCCGTCATTTCAAAAGATAATAAGTGACCTCAAGAAAAGGATATGTTTCTGTGCACCCCCATTACACTAGAACTTGAGCAATGGCAGGAAGTACAGGTGGCTTTGCAGAGGACATGGAGCTGGAGATGATCACAGACGATGAGCAGGGCTGGCGGTTCCAGCAAAGGGACAACATGGACAAAGGTTTGTGTAGCTAGAAGAACAGGGGGCTTTGGAGAGCCCAAAGAAGGCTGTGTGGCTGGAGTGTGGAAGGGACAGAGGAGAGCATAAGATTGAGCGAGAGGGTGGGCAAGGCCAGACAGGACAGGGTCTTGGGGACAACTTTGTGTTTTGGCCCCTTTGTTCAAGAACAACTGGTTATTGTCAAAAATTTTTGAGCAAGAGTTTGACCTGGTCAGATTCATCTTTTGAAATTTTTAAATTTGAACTGATTATTCATGGATCAGAGTGGGTGGAGGGGCAAGCTTTCTAGCACACCCCAAGTTTCTAAGCTTAGATGCCTGGGATAATGGAGGTGCTATCAGCATAAATAGGAACATCTGGAGGAGAAGCTAGTTTTAAAAGAAGAGAGTCTAGTTTAGAGATATCAAGGATTCTGCATGCCACTGGAGGTGGTAGCAATAGATATAAGTTGATTTTATACATAATAATAAAGTGTATACAATTTGACAGTTTGCAAAACTTTCTCTCATATGGTCATTTCATTTCATAATACTCCTGTGAAATAGACAATGCAAGTATTTCTTTTGTACAGATGGAGACTAATACTCAAAGAGATAAGTGGTTTGCCCAAAAATCAGTTAGAAAGCTCTCCTTTTTGTTTATCTACTTTCATTCTCATCACAACCCTGGGGTGTTTAAACAGAATTCATTGTATTCCCCAGATCTGTACCTTTAGACAAGAACTCTGGTGAGAAACCAAGACTAGAGCTTTGGGAGTCATCCAATATGTTTCCAAAATGCAACTCAGGCTTGCACAGTAAAGAGGTCCACATTTCATCCATAATTTATTTTAACTATAATATCTAGAAAGATATTGTCATGTCTTTAAACTTTCATTGTCTACACATGGCCTAAAATTTATTATAAAAAGAAAAATTGTCAGGCAGTTTTTATTGAAGTTAGTGATCATGAAGCTTATCTGAATAACCATGGACAGGTTTAAAGAGCACTCAGTCTTCCAGAATTATGAAAAATATTCACGGAAAACCAACTACAGATTTACTAAAGTAAAATGGCCTTGTTAGCTTTGTAATAAATTTCCATATGACAGATCATCACCAGAGAACTCCAGACCTGAATCTGAAAGCACCCCTTACTAATCTGATCTAAACTCTCCAAAGGGCTATGGAGAGTAGGGGAAAGTTAAATTCAGCCCAGATATTGATGTGCATTCAGCACTGTAGAAGCTCTTCTGTAGAGTCATTTAGTTATGGGAAGCAGTTCTTCTGGTTAATAGTGACCCCTTGTATTTGTACTGAGGCATCAGAGTAGACAGTATTTCTGCATTTGTGTCAGCCAGTGTTTTTTAGCTCTGCTCTGATTATCTTATGAAAGGGTCAAGGCAAACATAGTCAGGGACCCCTCTGGGTCTGTGTAAGACTTCGGGTAAATTCAACACTTACTCCTTCATTGTCCTCCCTGTTTACCAGTAGTATTTTGAATAAGGTGAAATCAGCCTAAATGAATGCCACAGCCAGCATCACCGGAAGAAAACAGTACATCCTGAGAGCACAGCCAGGAGCCTGGGATATTTATTGGTGGAGCAGGCAGATTTGCCTTAGTGCTAGTAATTGGGGTGATAGTGGTTGAGGTGAGGAATTTGACATTTAAAATGTGTATAGCCCTGTATAGTTGTCAAAAGACTTAGATTTGCCATTTCACTTCATGCTCACAACAAACATAGGTGTGAAACAGGCTCTTGCTCTCTGAGTGGACGAATCAAGGGCAGTGGTTTCTGCAAAGCCTGAGTAGAGGTGAAGCCGGGGCCATAAACCAGCTCCTCTAACGTAGGGCCAGTGCTCTGGCCATCTCATCGTGCCCCAGGGAAGGTATTCACATCTGTATCTTAATGATCATACTGTTGGAATTAGAGTTTGGGGGGTTTTTCCCCTAGAGCAGGAATGCTTTAGACCCAGACGTTGTTAGCTTTAAAATTAAACAGAAGAACTTTTCCTGTAAGAAAACATGGAGAAAGAGGAAGAGGAAGCCTGGGGAAGCAGTGGAGAAACAGACATGGTTAAACCGGTTACATCAAACTGCCTGGAAACCTTGCGACAATCTGATTTCACGGCAGTGGTGCTTCCCAGAGCTCAGGGCTCCGCCGTGCTGTTTCTCTCCCAGCTCTTTCCCAGATCTTCAGAGCAGCATCTCTGCCCCACACTGTGACAGCATCACAGTGTGGCAGGATTTATCATGAGGCAGATTTGCTAGCTAGGCAAATCTCTGAACTTTTTGGAGGCTCTGTGTTCTCAACTATAAAAACTGGGAATTAAAAAATACCTGCCTTGTTTATCTCATGGTTTTTTTGTAGAAATTACATGAGATAATATATTTGGGAATGCTTGAAAAACTGCAAACCCCAGTAAAAATCCAAGGGGTTGTTTCAGCTAGAAGTACTTGAAGCCTTGCCTCCTCTCTGTGAGTGTGTCCCGCATGCAGGCTGCATGCGTGAAGATCTTGCACGGTTTGGCTGGATGGATTGAATCAGTGCTTCTCTGAGTATTTATCAGGGTCCCAATACATGTAATGATAGGTGTTATGGAGCTGCAAAGGAGGCACAGGACAAGGTCTTCATCCTTCAGGAGTTAGAAGAAAGATTAGAAGCACTTAGTGCTAAGTAAGGCAGGACATAATCAAGTTCTAGCTGGAAAGTGGCCAGGGCTCCACTGGTTTGTGGAAGGCAGGGATGGGGGAAGGCCTAAGGGAAATGCAGACTGTGTGTGGTGAGAAAAAGGAAAGCATCATGTGTGGGGATACAGAGAGGAGAGCAGCCTGACTGGAGAAAGTACTTTGGCTGGGTCCTGGAGGTGCATTTGAGGTGCTGAGAGGCCACATGATGGGACAGGAGCCAGGCTTGTCTCATGTATGTTTTCTATTGTTGCCACAGCAAATTACTGTAAACCAAATGGCTTCAAATAATACCTGTTTGTTATCTGACAGCTCCTTTGGTCAGAATTCTGACAAGGCTTGGCTAGGTCCTCTGTTTAGGGT